TTACAGATTTATGGATAATAATTACCACTACATTGTATAAATAATCTATGCTACATAGTCGGAAGAGAGCCGACAGCGACGTGTCACCACTGCAGTCGCGTGGAAGACACCGCTGACCACACCTTGATGGAATGTCCAGCGTGGATATCTGAGCGGAGCCAACTCATCCGCGTGGTTGGCGCAGACCTTTCGTTGCCGGCAGTGGTCCAGGCCGTGGTCGGCAGCGAGAGGGCATGGCAGGCGGTGGTCGACTTCAGCGAGAGAGTCATCTTGCAGAAGGAAGCTGCTGAACGAGTGAGGGAAGACGACCCCTCCTCGGCGCCGCTGCGCCGACGAAGGCTGGGTCGAAGGCAGCGGGCTTATGCTCGCGACATGCCTCCCCAGTGAGGAAGCCTCCGGGCGTCGGTGGGGAACCGGCGTCCGGGTAACACAGGCTAGAGGAAGAGCGGCGTGTTTGGCGTTCCCGGCACGCTGCTCTTGAGTCGGAGGGGTGGTGTGGTCAGCCAGTCAGTGTTTCCCCCGCGGCAGGAAGTCTTTAAAAGATTCTCCTCGTTAAAAAAAAAATTGTATGAATAAACTAAGGAATGCCAGTTAATTTCCATGTAAAAAAGGGACTTAAACAACAAAATAAGTTTATAATTGTTTCAAATATTAAGTGGCACCTACATATGTAATTATATTATTGTGGTCAGAGTGACATTGTCCGTATAGAAACAGAGATATCATACTACACATACATTTCAAGTTCTATTAATACAGAGTATATCTATTCTATTTCCTATTGTTTAAAACTAAGAATGTTTGGACATGTGGACGAATCATTTCAAAAATGCATGGCAATGTGAACGTTTATATTTTAATTTATTAACCTTATTTTGTCATAAAATTCCACAACCAAAGGAGTAAAAACATTTACTCTTTAATTTCACGTAGTAAATAAAAATCTCCTCATTTAAAAATTTATTATATGTACTTGTTGCAATTATTATAATGTGTCTCAAGAGCATCTGATGTTAAAGTTACATAAAATTATACACGCACTTTTATTAAAAGACTGTTTGGACTTATAACATTTAGTGATATTATGACCATTGAAAAGTATCATAGTATATACACGATATAATGTGTGATCTGGATATCTAATTACGATGATATAGATTTTAATACAAAATGTAGAATAAAGAAACACCTACTCTAAGGTAATTCAGTTGTTGTATCTTTTATGGTACTAAGACATTAATTTTAATAAAAAGAGTCTTAGGAGTAATAAACTTTACAATTTGTAATAAAAAAATCCTGTGCAACATAATAATATATTTAAGGTTTTTTGGGTTTGCTTCGTGTGTTATAGTAAAAAACTCATAAATTACATATTTAAAAATGTGACGAAGCATTTTCTATTTTGGCTTGACTTTAAAAAATAAACATATTTTTATTAGAAAATTTGTTTAATACATTCTCTGAATCCTAATGGACATTGGTATAGCGTGATTAAATACCTCCATATCCTTTCAACTGTCATTCCTTTCATTGTTGATCTTCTTTAGATCTGGACCAAGCATTCCCTTCTTTCACATTAGCTTACCGAAAATTGTAATATGGTGTGGCGAACGCGACACTTACATATATAATAAAACATTATATATATACATTAATATAATATCTCGTATGTATTTTGTTACATTAAATAATATATATATATATATATATATATATATATATATATATATATATATATATATATATATATATATATATATATATATTGAAGTCAGTGGTGGCCTAGTGGTTAAAAGGATCGCCTCTCATGCATGAGGGCGCGGGTTCGATCCTGGCCCGGGCAAGTACCGATGTGATTTTTCCGAGTCATATGTACTTTGTAAGATTATTTAGACATCACTGACTAATGCATTCCCAAAAAAGAGGGTTGATGTCAGGCAGGCGGCCGGTCGTTAAAACAATTTGCCAAAACTATTCACAACATGTAGGGCAGACCCTGGCTAAAGCTGGGAAAATTGCCAGGTAGAAGAAGAAGAAGAAGAAGATATATATATATATATATATATATATATATATATATATATATATATTTGTACTTTAAATCATACAATTAATTAAATAAAAATAACAATTATGTAAATGACGGAAGGCGGTCGCCGAGTGGTCGTATGATAAAAATGTCTTATGTCAATAATCTTTAAACAAAGAAACGCAAGCGCATCGGCTCGGCCGCCACCCGCCAACTACAAGTTGAAACCTGGATTTCAAAGTAAACGCACGTCGCTTATCGCTTAAAATTTGCTACACTATATTGAACCTTATTCGTATTAGTAATAAGCTATACTTCCTATTTTTATCCAAAACTTATCTTCATATTTGTTCTTCTCAATTTCATTTCTATTCTGTGCTGTGCCTATCAACTTTCTACAAGAAATAAAATTATTAGTGAAGAAACTTTGTTTTTCTTAACATCATTCAAACATCGGCTACAATAGTAACACGTACGATATCGATCATAGCAACATTTGTACGTTCACCATTTATGGTAAAGATTTTCCGTTGTCGTTGGGTGAAATAAAAGTCTAGCATTATTCAGTAGCTACATAAATAAAATATCAAAATTACAATTATCTTTGAATAGAAAATACAGTAATACATATATGGTTACACAACAATTTTAGTGGTATAATACAGAGACTCGTTCATTCGGGGTTCATCTGTCACAGCCACATGAAAAGTATTGATAAGTAGCTGGGATCGAATACGTCTTTTCCAATTTGATAATATGATAAATCATTTGTACAGACTCCGTTTTGTACATAACCGGTTTGCGTTTGTATATGTAACCGGTTATAAGGACTTTGCATACGTATTATGATAGGATTTTAATTATTTTATATATGTACTAATTACAGAGTGACTTTTAAGTGAATTAAGGACTCGGCTAGTCCTCTTGTGACTAAAATCTTTTATTTCCATTACTAATTCACTACGTCCTATACGAATAGACAACATGAGTCAATTGTCGTACTGTTAAAAGTTTGTAATCTTGACAGAGCAGAACTTCTTTAAACTTCAATCGCTGGCGACCGCGATGTCAATGTCAGTGTGAGAACTTTCGTCCGTATCGTGATTTTGTCTTCTTTGTGAATGAACGTTGTACGATCATCTGTTACATATCTTGTAATGTGTAATCTTATTTACAATGTTTTATTTTTAATTACTCAAACAGGGAGGGGTATATGAGGTTTAGGAACATGCAACACTTTTTATCATAATCCAGAGAAAAATATTTTTTTTATTCAAATCAACATATGATTCTAATTCTTCTGTATAGTTTTGTTTTTATTTATGTGACATAGTCATTGTGTTCATTCCTGACAAAAGGTTTTACCGTCGTAAATTTGTTAAAACTTCACCCACGATAGTATAATAAAAAAATAAAAAATAAGACAGTGAGCCAACGAAAAATTTAAATTCAATCATGCATTAATTCACTATGAATTTAAAAAATTATTAGGTATTTTTCCAACTAAGTTATTAATGTTATGATTATCCATGGTATCAGCTATAAATAGTGCTACAAAATACCTCACTAAGAGTTTGATAACAGCCGTTGATATTTTATGAGTTGAATTTCAATGGCAAGTACCTTGCATTAAACGGCTAACCGTAGGGATGGGATATATGTAGTAGTACATAAATAAAAGCCGCTACGGTCTTTTGCAATCTGCAATGCGCTTGTTTGTTTATTTTATTCGAAAAATATGACTTTTAAATATGCAAGGTTTTACAAAAAACTTATTGAGTTTCAGTTGTAATAAAGTAAGGAATAAAAAGTTGAAATGATTCTACAAATTTCACAAAATGTAAGTCCCAACATGTTCCTATTTTCAAATGGGTAAATAATATTATGTACATACATACAAAGGACATCGACAAGTGACTCGAAAAGTGATAAAAAATTTAAGAACCTGCAATCCTGCTAATATTTACAATTAATTATAATTTACAGAAATTAATTTAACTGTTACTTACTGAATAATGCATATTGTGCTAAAAGATATTTTTCCGATTAAACATCAAAAGCGAGAGTTTTCTGATTTTAAGCATGACAGTAAAGTTGTCAACTTAGGATTAAAATAAAAAAATCCTCTTGATCAGGAATGTACGACACAGTGAAATTTTATTAAAAAAAAAATTATGTACGTATGTCAAAACAAGAAAATACAATTGTTTTAGTGAACATTGTGGAAAAAAAATCACAGGTGAAAGAGTAGAATTCAAAACAAACAAATACTTAAAACTTCAGTAAAAATGAAGTCAGTTTTAAAGGATATCTCTTGAATTGTATTAATCAAAGCATTCATTTAGTTTCTAAGAAAAATATGAATGTTAAATTGAAAATTCCTGACAAATTTTGACTCAAAGCTGCTGCTTACATTTATTAGAGAAGTTGCAACACAATAGTGTAATGAAATAAATGATCCAAGAAATAAATCTTCGTCTTGAGAGAACGATTTTATGTTCTTCCGTAAAAAATATTAAGTTTAATAAAAATATGTGAGCATATTTAGGAAGTGATTCTGCATCTGGAATATTTTCACCAGTGTACTTAAAAAAAAGAAATGGTGAACATCCTACAAGAGATGGTGTTAAGGACTGGTTATCCCTCAAGATGTGTACTTTCTCTATCATACATACACAGAATACCTAATATAAAACATTTATCTACGTATTTTCGGCAAAAAAAAATAGCCTATGGAAATGTTTAGCGATCGAGCTATTTTAACTTTGAAGAATAGAAGCTGCATCTATAAACGCTGTAATTTAAAAAGGCAGTCGATAGAGAAAAAAAAATCATTTGACACACCATGACATGTACATAGATGATGCTTTTAGTTACTTGGTAGAATTCTTAAATTCCCCAAAACCATCTTGTCTTTCATGCAAGTCAAGGACTTACACAACAATTTAGTTGAGACCATTACTTTGACAAGATGTTCTGGAGGAAACACGGTATTCTTTAATTTTTGAAAAATTGATACATGAAAGTGTTTAGTGAGGATTAAGTGTGAGGCAATACTAACAATATCAGCACAATCAGCTGCTTCATATACCCACATATGCACATACATAAAACGATGAAATAAAACTTCGGACACTTTATTAAAATATATTTCCTTAAACTATAATTTCACAATTAATATAATATTCCTAAAAGTGAATGATAATTTCTGGCTATTATCTAATACTTAAATAAAATTAATATAAAAAAGTGCAAAATTTACCTTCGTAACAATACAATTATACGAACATGAATTTGTTCTTTATATTACAACAATTAATAGCTTGAAAATATAACACCACTGACTACATATATGTATTATACGGTAATTCACACTTATTATAATATCGAAAATGTCTAATAAATGCAGTTGTTGCTGCTGCCGATAGTGTGGAGTGTTTACGTTGTTCCTGCCAATTCCATCGAGTCTACGTCGTCTATTTGAGTCCCGATGACAGAATACCGAAATGGATATGCAAGGGATGCAAGCCGAAGCCTTGTTCTCCAGCAATATTTACCGACTTGGCTTCCTTGCAAGGGGCAAACAACACCGAACACTCATCGTTACTTTCAGCCGTGGAAGATCCAGGAGTGGTTAGTTCACTTTTAGAACATATCAAGCTCCGTCGGGTCGAACTGGTCAATTTGACGCGGGAAGTATCCTCGTTTCGTCAGGAGCTTGCATCATTGAAAGGTACGTTGTCCGAAGTTTGCAAGCGAGTCGATAATGTCGAAGCGCGACCGTCTCAACTTGAGAATAAAACACCGTCCGTGCCTGAGAGTCACTTATTGGAAGACATTGCCAACCTGAAGACGGAACTCAAAGAGCAGTCATGTCTATTGAACGACATTGAGATCTCAGGCATTACTAAACGGAATGGGGAAAATCTTCAATACGTAGTAGGCCTCATTGTGCGTAAGATTAGCGTCACATTAGAAGAGCGCGACATTGTTTTCATCGACATTTTCATTGACACCAGCGAACGGTCACGGTCACGCCCTAGTACATAGTACGACTAGCGCGCCGCACGATTCGCGATAAACTACATATGAAATCTGGGGGGGTGCGCGTCTGCCGTGGGACTGATACATCGGGTTTAGATACAGATAACAAGCCTAAACGGTTTTACATCCATGAGCACCTCACTAGAACAAATCGTACTCTTTTTTACAAAGCACGAGAGGTGGGCCGCCGCAATGGATGGCGTTATATATGTACTCGCGAGGGCCGGATCTATGCCTGGCGGAATAAGGAAACTGCTGCTTATAGGCTACGATCACAGCATGACATCCCGAAGGATTTGTAAAAGCACAGGTTTGAGCTGTGAGTTTCAGTTTAGGAGTAAGAAGAATATTTTTGACTTACTAATTGTTTATTTTATAAAAATAGTATATAAAAAGGTGTATTCTCTAATTTCTTTCATGCTTTTGTATTATTTTAATGTTAAGTGTATTTTTATTAATTATAAGGATACTATCGTTTATTTTTACAGCAGTGTAATACATAGCGGCAAGACAGTTCAAAAATGTTCAAAAATAATTAATTATTATGAATAAATCACAAATTCAAATTAATTACCATGAAAAAAAACAATTTTATTTTTAACATATTTGCGTTTTTAAAATAACTCCGACCATATGCGTCGATTAAGATTTACTAACCGTAAAATTTGGTTTCTTCTCATTAAATCTTGTCTCATTTTTGGACATTGGAAATATCGTAGCATGATCTATTTTACGTTTCAGTAACTTGGGTCTGATAAACCAAATTCTATGTAAAAATTTGTGTCCAGTTTTTATAAGTTTATTCTTGACGGATCTCTTGCCTATGAAATAACAATTTTGAATGTCGTCATGTTTTTGAGGTAAGAGTTTTTGAAAGCATTACATTCAATTGTCCTGAGAGGTTTATTTTAGCGTAATATAATTTTGTTCTACAAAAAATATATATTTTTTTTCATTTGTGCACCACAAAAATATACATATTTAGGATTCATCAATACAACGTTGTCCGAAAAACGTTTTTGGATAGATCTTATTTTATTCAGAGAGTTATTATTAGGAATTCTTGCACACAAAATATGAATAATATGCATAAATTGAATTATACACTTCAAACTTAAAATGCCATTTTGTCGTCAAAGAAAAAATATTGGTACAAGTGCTATTAATCAAGACAGTTATGCTTTAATATTATTAAATAATCTTCTTCTACCTAGCAATTTCCCAGCTTTAGCCAGGGTCTACCTTACGTGTTGTGGATAGTTAAGGCTAATTGTTTTTACGACCGGCCGCCTGCCTGACATCAACCCTCTTTTGGGAATGCATTAATCAATGATGTCTAAATACTCTTAGAAAGTACATATGACTCGGAAAAATCACATTTGTACTTGCCAGGCCAGGATCAAAACCGCGTCCTCGTGCATGAGTGGCAGACCTTTGAACCACTAGGCCACTTCTGACTAAAAATTAATTTTATTTAATAATATAATAATACAACGCAAGTACAAGTCAGTGGTGGCTCAGTGGTTAAAGGGCCCGCCTCTCGGCCTCTCGTCGCCGAGGGCGCGGGTTCGATCCTGGCCCGGGCAAGTACCAATGTGATTTTTCCGAATCATATGTACTTTCTAAGAGTATTTAGACATCACTGATTAATGTTGATTCCCAAAAGAGGGTTGATGTCAGGCAGGCGGCCGGTCGTAAAAACAAATAGCCAAAAACTATTCATTACATGTAAGGCAGACCCTGGCTATAGCTGGGAAATTGCCAGGTAGAAGAAGAGAATATAATAATACAACGCATTTACATATTCTACCAAAGATTTATTACATTTTACCTAACTTAATGTATATGATATATAAATATAAATTGCCAAAGTAAAAAAAAAACTACTTACGAAAGCGAAACCATATCTTCAAATATCTACAATTATTTTAAGGTCACACTAAAACTTGCCTTTGTGTGGTCGACGTTATCCTTGAGTTAAGTAATACTTAAGACACGAGTTCACTAATAATTTGTTAAGTATCAGTAAGGTAGGCGTCCGTTAAACTAAAAAATAAGTTTAGATAGAATAATTTATTTTCCATTTCCACTTCGACGCCGGTTCGTAATCAGTCGATTTTTAATTATCACGTCTGTAATACGTAGTTGTAGATGGCCTGATGGAGTAAGAGTTTAATTCATATTTATTGCAAACTAAATCAACATTAAATTATTTTACTTCTAATCTCAATGAATTTGTTTCTTTATCCTACTAATACATTAAAATATTGAATAAAATCTCAGTAAACCTCATTTTTAATCATCATTTAGGTATATAAGGGTGGATGGAAAAAATATTTTTTTTGTCGAAAAAAATAAGAGATTCTCTCTGTTCCCTTCAAGAGTCGTCTGTCACTGGACCTAAGAGGTTAAGTATTGACAAGTCTTTGAGAACACGTCATTCCCAAGCTAGTTACGTAATTGATGGTTCTATACGATAAGTTACGTGTTTGAGACTTTAGTTTAGCAAATTGTTAAATTAGTTAGATGCTTGTGTGATGATCTACTTTTTATTACATTCATACATGTTTCATTACAATGAGTGAGTTATTTGAAGTTTGTGTATTTTAAAAGTAGTTTAAAGGCTAAAGTAGTATAAAGTTCAGATTTTAGAATGTCTGCAAAAATATGTTGCATATGAAATGTCGATTTGTTGACTTTTTCTTCTCAAATGCTGTATTGACGTTAAGAAGTAAGGCTATAAAATTAAGAATTGATTTGAATTGAATCAAAACCCCTTACATAGTTAAAAAATACTTTTTGATAATAATAATTAATCTCAATATCATAAGAATATAATAAGTAAATTGTCAAACATAAATTCTATCAGAATTGATTTAAATTATAACCAATTATGTTCATAAAATAAACTTATACTATTTATTTTATTCTTATCATTGTCGAGTACAAAAAATCAACACACATGAATGTAGTTTTATATCCAAATATATCGTTATTCGATGCTGATATTCAAATTGAGTTTACAAGTTAAATCGACTGATGCTTCGCAGCTTAACAATGAGACAATATGTTTGCTCAACACGTTCCTTATAAATTTTATAGAGAATGCAAAATGTCTTTTGAGCAAGAATTATTTTTCAATAATATAATTGAACTCAGTATAAACACACACACACATATATATATATATATATATATATATATATATATAAATAAGACTTGCTCTTAGATAAAAGTGTTTTGAAAATTAAAAACTCATATTGTATATGTGGTTTAAAATACGAAAGTGTACCTTTATAGAGAAAAAAACTTGCAAAAACTCATAATTTCTACTTAAAAGATGTAATAAACGAAGGTGGGATAAAAGAAAAACAATCATAACTGTTATTTCTTTTATTCCTAATATAGCAACCAAAATACAATATTATGCTGAGAGATAATTTTTTTACCTATGATTTGATTTTAAACAAGTGGAATAAATCATAATGATGGTGATGAAGACGACTATGGTATTAATAAATCTTTCGATGAATGATATATTTATGTTTTAATGCAACGTTTACGAAATACATTTATTATTTAGCCAAACAGAAGACCACTTCTATTATAAGTGTCAACAATAATTATTATTATAACTTGAAATATATTAGGAACACAAGTATATTGTACAAAAAAAAATCAACGTGATGAATTCTTATCCCTGTCCGGAAAATTACACTTAGCTGGAGTAATTAATCCCAATAACTATGGTACCACATATTAAATAAGAATTATTTCAGTCATAAAAGTCACTTTTATGTAAATCTAAAATCTGAAATATAGTGTTTAAATGTACAAAATCTAAATATACCATTACATTTGTTAGAAAAACTGTGATATAACTCTCGTCATATGTTGTATAAAACGTACTACTGTACATTTCTCCAAATTGACCTTATATATGTATCATGTTTTATTCCAAATACAATATATTACAGTATGGATATATATAGTGTTAGAATTGTAATAATTACTATACTGGTGCATAGCTGTAAATACACATTTGCGTTGGGAGGATCGGAGGGCAAAATTGCCCCATTGGTACATAGCTTAGATACTAAATCTCGTATTAGCACTTACTGACTCTATTACGTTACAATGATAAATTTCCCAGCCATTATTATGTATGCGTAGCGGTACTTTGCTTATCATATTTTGCGATATTACATCCACTCTTTGTTGGAGTGGGGAAATTTTCATTAGCGTGAAAATCTGATGTAACTTAAAATAACTTTAATATCGGTCACCGTACTTAAACAAGCATTGTCGATTAGATGTTGTTATTTCACAATTCTTGATACATTATTACTTAAAATTTGAATCCTATAATATATATTTAACTTTATAATATATTGTAGGTATATAATTCAAATAGTTCAGTATGAATTGCATAGGATTGTGAAAAATAATGACTAATAAATTATGTAACCTAGGCGGGGTGAATCATAACAACTTTTTGAGGATTAATTAAACGTTACTATTTTGCCAATAAACCTTATTAAAGGCACTTTTATTAGAACATGGTTACACGAATTTTAATTTCGCCCCAACCGCACTGGCATCCTCATAAAGATAACGCTAGAACGACTGGGTTTCTCTTAATTTACGAACGAATATATGACACACCTTCATACCATCTTATGTAAGGTATAAGTGTTGTTGGGATCCAAAATTAAGTCGTTTTAACAAAAATTTTAAGGATGAGGAAATTAGTAACGGATTCTTGTATGTATTAGAGAATATGAAACACGCTTTTAAAAGAATTCCCTGTGTGATAATTATTTTTAGGTATTTAACAGCTTCTTGTAGAAAATTCGTAGTTTGAAAACATAATTTTATATTTTAATACTAGAAAAACCTTTTTTTTATATACCTTATCCTTACCTAATTGACATGTTTTAGACTCAAATTTCAGAGTACCAACAAAAGTAATATGATAAGTATTTTAAATAAATTCGATTTTTTAT